ATCATAGTTTGATCCATAATACAGGTTGGATGTCACGCACACGTTAAAACCAAATGATGAAAACGGGAACTCACACTATGATTATTCTGGCTCATCATTGCAGCCATTTCATTCAAGAAGTCACCCATACCCTGCATGACATAACAAATAAATCAAATGAATAAATTCTAGCCGTGCAAACATCTTTGAAATTCACGACGGATAACCAGTAGAACATAATCCGAACTAACATGACACAACTCAGAGGCTGAACTGCTAAGCATAGCCAAGATTGATTTTTCCACTCTCAAGTGGTCCTTAATTATTTCCCAGCTAGAAGCCAAGATTCATTTTTTCTAACAATTATTATCTATCTACATTCAGTTCCTTTCTAGATGGGGCATCCAGCTAACAATTAAATTCAATTTACACTTTATGCTTTCAATTTTTCCACCAACTATCAAATATAAAAATAATACAGTCTCTGAACTCACAACTGCATAAATACAAAAGCAACTCCATGGACCAACATGATCCAACTATCGGTTAGCCTAACAAAAAGGCCAAACAGATATAGTCCTCAAACAATAAATAGATAAAATAAAAGAACAACCGACGGATAGAAAAGGTATATATAAGCTATGATGGGCAGAAAATACTAGAAAGGGAGTTTTACAAAGACAGAGAAGATTCTTGAAATCAAGCCCACATAATGTATGTACGTATGTATGTATGTATGTACATATGTTTAGCCATTAGAACTCACGTTTTCGTCATCATCATCATCGCAGTCATAGACTCCTACATCGTACAGAAACCTTTTGTTGGCATCCGAGAGCACTAAATAACATTAGGCATTCTTGTGAGTTCATCAATTCTCAGTTAAGGGCTGATAAAAGTAGGGCATTTGAGTGAGAAAGTATGTACATATGTTCATAAAAGAAATGAAAACAAAACAAAAGACCGAGCCCCGTTAAGATATGTGGAAACAATTACCAGAATAGGCTTGCTGGACAGCTTGAAATTTTTTCTTTGCCTCCTCGACATAATTTGGGTTCCCAGAAGCAGAACAGCGATCAGGGTGCCATTTCTATTCACATAAAAATAAATAAATCCAATAAATTACAAATTTATCAAAAATAAAATAAAACGTGTGGTGGAAGAAGTAGAGGTATAATTATTCCATCAAATCAAACTTTTCTAACCTCAACAAACCATCTCTGACAACATGATATCCACTAATCCACAAAACATTGTATGATCTTGTTTTCTCCGGGCCAGGAATATAATTTGACGG